CTTACAAAAGAAGATAACATCCAATCAAAAATGGGCAAAGGATCTAAATAGACCCTTTCAAAAGAGGACATTCAGAAAGCCAAGAGACATATGAAAACATGCTCAAAGTCACTAATCATCCGAGAGATGCAAATCAAAACAACAATGAGGTACCATCTCACCCCTGTCAGAATGGCCATCATCAACAAATCAACAAACGACAAGTGCTGGAGAGGATGTGGAGAAAAAGGAACACTTCTGCACTGCTGGTGGGAATGCAGACTGGTGCAGCCACTATGGAAGGCGGTATGGAGGTTCCTCAAAAAATTGGAAATGGAACTCCCATTTGACCCTGTGATCCCACTTCTAGGAATATTTCCCAAGAAACCAGAAACACCAATCAGAAAGGATATATGCACCCAGATGTTCATAGCAGCACAATTCACCATAGCTAACATCTGGAAACAGCCTAAGTGCCCATCAGTAGATGAATGGATTAGAAAACTGTGGTACATCTACACGATGGAATACTATGCTGCTGTTAAAAAGAAAGAACTCTTACCATTTGCAACAGCATGGATGGAACTGGAGAGCATTATGCTAAGTGAAACAAGCCAGTCAATGAAGGAAAAATACCACATGATCTCACTCTTTCATGGATAATTAAGACCATTACAAACTTTTGAACAATAATAAATACAGTGGCAGAGCTGCCTCAAACCGATTGTCGGACTGCAGTGGGAAGGCCAGGGAGGGTTGGGGGGCAGGAGGGAGGGGAATAAGAGATCAACCGAAGGACTTGTATGCATCCATATAACCATAACTAATGGACATAAGACACTGGGGGGTAAGGGAGGGCAGGGGCTTGTCAAGGGTGGGGGGGAAAAAAGGACACTTATGTAATACCCTTTGTAATACTTTTAGCGAAAAAAAAATAAATAAAAAAATAAATAAATTTGGAGGTTATAAGTTTTCATTTTCAAGAATATCATTATGAATAATACATTAGAGCGTCAGTTTTTATTGATTTCTAGAAGGAGAGAGAAAGGGAGAGGGGAAGAGAGACAGAAACATCGATGAGAGAGAACCATCTATTGGCTTCCTCCTTCACATTCCCTACTGGTAATTGAGCCCTCAACTCCAGCTTGTGCCCTGACCAGGAATCGAATCAGCGACCTCTTGGTATATGGGACATTGGTGAGCTATTTTAAAGGCAATTTATAAAGATTCAATTAAAATGTGCAATTGTCACAAACTTTAAAATTGTTGATCTATATATTCTCTTTTACAAAGTTTTTAGATATTTTTGCCAATAAGAGATTGAATTCTTCCTCATTTTGCTTCCTAACTAATCACATTATGTTAGCAAAAAGAAATTGCATAATATTAACTTTTTTCTATAATGATAAAACACATAATCAGATACCAGAAATCTAATACTAAAAGGCCATAGACTACATAACCCATTTCGGATTAATCCGTGTATTAATCACTTCCTCTTCTTTGTCTCTCACAGTGCTCAAAGAAATTTGGTATAGTGTTTGTTATAATGTACACAGTTCTTGCTGAGGACAATGTGATTCTTTATCGTATTCCATTCTGTTCCATTCCATTCCATTCCATTCCATTCCATTCCATTCCATTCCATCCTATATATTGACTTAGAATTTCTGTTCATATAAATGAAGTACATGTTGATAATTGTGAAGTCTTCAGCCTTAGGGTATTATAGTTTGACTATTCTAAAACTGGGGAGTATTCCTAGAGAAAATTACTATTCTTCCTTTAAAATAAATACAGATCGACATTAAGATGAGACTAGAAGGAAGAGAGTTAAGTGAAAAGCATAGGGCAAACACAATATCTGGGTTGGAAACATATTAATAAGTAAGACTAAGTAAATATTAAGTTAATTTAAATAAATTAACCACTTTATTTGAAAGATGAAAGTAACTGATGTTCAGAGATATTGATAGCCCTAACCAGGTCACTGACTAATTAGTGGCAGTTTTAATGAAATGCAAATCTTCATTTAGATCTCTTTTCACCCATCTCAGAATCTAAGTGAGACAAGGAGCTTCCAAATACACAAAATGAAAATAGATTGCTGCATAAAGTCTTTATTAGTTGGCAAAAAATTTAAATATAATCATTAGAGTTCTTAGAAGTAGTGACAGAAAATGAAAATACCTTCACATCACAGATGAACATTATCTCTATATATCAAGTGGATAGTGTTTATTCTTCTACCGACTAGAGTTAGGGTTTATTTTCAAAGACGATTTTGCAAAATTGACACCAGGGCAGTACTTTGACATGGTTTGCTTTAAAACACATTTAAACATATGGCTAAGAGGTTTAGAGAATATTTCACTGTTGAATACATTTCACATTGAATTAATATAAATTAATTGCATTAGTAGTAAATTGAATTACTTGAATTAATAATAAAATATTATGAGCACCATGTGAACATAACATAGAAAGTCTTCTTAGTGGTTCACACAGTCTAGAATCAAGCACATTAGATTGAAATTAACGTAGATATAATACAATAAATGTCAATCATGAAGCCTAAATAATTACATGCTCTCAGAAATCAAGTGTTGGAGTCCTCATTTGTGCTTGATGCCAGATTTCCCTTGCACTTCGAATCAACCTTCCCTTTCCATATTTTGTGCAATGGAATTAAGGTTTAACACAATTGTCTAGAGGATTTTTGCCACTAATCAGTAATACAATGACAGGTCTATCTATAGATAATGAAATATTTTCCTTCATTTAGAGAGACTTCATTTTATTCTTTCTATTTGTGGATTAGATAACTTAGGTGAGTTTTGGTTTAGGGGAACAATGTAGTGAATTTATCATTTCCAACATTTAGGGAATAATAAATGGTTGGTGACTTATACAATTTTCTCTTTTTATCTGATGACCGTTCCCTCCCTCAGTGTGCTATCTCTATAGTTTTCACAAAGTGATGCTAATTCATGGTCATGCACATGATTTTTTGAGCTAGAGTTTGTTTTTCTTGCTAATAGGTCATGTGAGGTGTATATATTCAAAAGTTAGTGATAGTGCTGTAAATTTAAGGAATATTATAATTTTACTTTGAGAAGAGTGGTGAAAGTAAAGGTAGTAGTTCTGCACTCATCAATCCTATCTAATGACAGAGCACTTCATAATGTATGATGTACTATGAACGCTTTATAAGATCAGAAAGGGTCTTTACTATGTTATCTACATATTGCAAGAATTGAAGAAATGCCTTTTGAGTAGGAGATAAAGTTTCTTGTTCAGTAGCAGGGGAAACTGTATTCTCTATTGAGGCAGAAGAAGGTTGTGGTGTTTGTGTATTTGGGGGTTGTTGTGTTGATGTCATAGCAAACAGGTCTGTGGTGCCAGTATTTTCTCTTGCAGATGTGGTGACAAAAATCTGAGTAGGTTCCACATCTGGAGAGGGAGTAGTTTTGACAGAATTAGATGTGAGATTTATAAGTGGAACTTGGGTGGTAGCCTCTGAAGTATTATTCTCAATGACGGTGTTATTTTTATCTAAACACTTAGGGGACCAGTAATGTTTTTGGCCTCTGTATCTTTCCCACATGGAAGGTAAAGGTCTGTAGTATCTGCGGTGATGAAGAAAGTGATAGAATTGTGCCCTGTCAGGTCGAAACTGAGAATGAAACGGTGATTGGTGGTCTAATATATATCCACGATGGTCATGATTCCTTCTGTGATATATGTTCCATTCCTTTCTTTGACCTTCACTGACCTAAAGAAAAGAAAGAAAATGCATTGATTTATCAACTAGGGGATACTAATGAAGTGTGATGAGCAGTATTTGTGTAGTTTTGGGAGTAGAAGTGAGTTTGCAGTGAGTTGAGTCATTATCCTTCTAATTTCACCAAATCTCAATAATGCCTTGCTATTAGAGAGTTGCTTTTTGTCAATTGTTTTATTCCTACTTCACTAAGATGGATATATACCTGTGGGTTCAAACCTAGAGAACTAGCTATATCTGCCCTTTTTTGCTTGTATTTCTCATCTTTCTGATAGAAAATTATCAAGTTACTGCCTGAGCAAAAGGCCTCTCCTGCTGCCATCCTTTGTCCATGAAATTTCAGTCAAAGACATTAAACTGAGATCCAGAAGTCCTTTCTTAATCACACCCTCATATCTATGATCATCAAAAAACAAAAAATGACAAAAACCCAAACAATCAACTTAACAAATATCCCAACTCAACTTCATAGCCTACATAGTGTAGGAAACTTAGTGTTTAGAATTTTCAAATCGGAGAAAGAACTTTAGCTATTACCTTTTAACTTTATCATTGTAAAATTAGAATTACAGAAAGTCAGGGACCCATGAATCCTATGATACTGTAGAAATTTTTATTGTTTATTCATTTTGTCTAAATAGAGGACCTACAGCTTTTATGATTGCTCAAAGGTCTCACATCTGAAAAGGATACTGATCTTGCCCAACTGTACATGTGATACTTGATCTTTTTCTAATACACCTCCTTAGTGGTTGTCCAGGCCACGCTTGACAACTTCTTCTGATTGGAAACTCACTACTATATTTCCCAAGGTGGCGTGCTAGACTCTAGCAGCTAGAGAGTTCTTGCTATGGAATAAAAGTCGTTTCTTGAGATTTCCATTTTTAACTGAATAGAGACTTATTTCTTCACGTTTCCATTCTTGGTTTTAATTCTATGCTTTGGCAGTACATGGAAGATTTTGGAGCCCTCCAAAATTTAAAAATACCTACCATGCCATCTGGGTCTATATTCTGCAAGATAAACATTCTTAGCTCTGTTAACCATGGCTGACATTATTCAAGTTAGAGTACATCACTATTTTAGTTTCTTTAAAAAAATTCTTTTTATTGATTTCAGAGAGGGAGAGGGAGAGAGAGAGAGATAGAAACATCAATGATGAGAGAGAATCAATAGCCTGCACTGGGGATTGAGCCCACAACCCAGGCATGTGCCCTGACCAGGAATCTAACCGTGACCTCCTGCTTCATAGGTTGATGCTCAACCACTGAGCCACACCAGCTGGGCTGTTTTAGTTTCTTATCTCTAAACATATTGCAATTTGTCTATGTTTTTTTTCTGTATTCCATTCATATTAGAATTTTAAATGATTAATTATATTACTTTAAAGCAGGAAAAGAAATTTAACATAAAGGTAAAGGGGCACCTCCCAAAGTTTTAAGCAAGAAGAAGTCACATTTTTCCTCTCGATGATTTCCACAAGAACCCTTTTTTTCGGCCACCAAATATATAAATCATTCCAGGCCCACACTGTAAAGCTGTCTCCAGAGACAGAATTTAGCACAAGCAACAAGACAACCTCTGAGAGACTTAGCAGTCATTCAGCTAAGTTAGCTTCCTCAGAGACTAACACACACCCAGACTAAAAAATGACTTCAGAAAGCATTGTTTAGAAACTTAAATTATCCAAGACATTTCAATTCCTATTCAAGAACATCCACAGTTAAAATAATGACTTCTTGCCCTAACTGGTTTGGCTCAGTGGATAGGGCGTGGGCCTGCGGACTGAAGGTTCCCAGGTTTGATTGTGGTCAAGGGCATGTACTTTGGTTGCGGGCACATCCCCAGTGAGGGGTGTGCAGGAGGCAGCTGATCAATGTTTCTCTCTCATCGATGTTTCTAACTCTCTATCCCTCTCCCTTCCTCTCTGTAAAAAATCAATAAAATATATTTTAAAAAATAATAAGTTCTTATCCACATAACTTTGATGGTTTTGCATAGATCTCTTATGGAAGAACATAGAATTCCGGAATCTGTAACTGAATCTGGGATGTTCCCCTGATCATTGAACCTCTCAGGAGATTCCATCCATTAGAGGGCAGTAGGTTTCTGAACATAAAATTTGCAGGTCAAATTGATCAAGTGAATCTTTTCCTGAGATTCAGTATACAACCCAGATAAACACAAAACCTCTCTGATTAAAGTGGCATGGGGTGCCTTGCATCCCACCAGCTCAGTCCTCCCTTCCGAGGTGGTCTCTGAGGATGGTGTGAAGAAATTCCAAATCTTTAAAAAATATTTTATTTTTAAATTCCAGTTTACATTTATTATTATTATTTTTATTAATTTCAGGTGTATAGCATAGTGGTTAGAAAATCATATACTTTACAAAGTGACGCCCCAATATTTCCAGTACCCACCTGGCACGGTACTAAGTTATTATAATATTTTTCCCTATGCTGTACGTGACACCCCCGTGACTATTTTATAACTACTAATTTGTACTTCTGAATCCCTTCACCTTTTTTGCCCAGTCTCCTAAACTCCCTCTGGCAATGAGTCTATCAGCCTATTTCTGTTTTGTTAGTTCATTTAAGAAGGACTTCCAGCTCTTACAGGAGCACGTTTGAAACACACTGCAGCCAATGGGGGTTTGGGTCTGTTTTGCATTTGCTATTAAATAACTGAGTGACTTTGGGCAAGTCACTAATTTCACTGGATCTCAGTTTACTCATTTAGAAAATAATTCAGATTAGGTTAAATTCCAGATCCAAAATTATTATTGCATGACTAATATGCATTGAAATAGGTATGCTGTTCATTTCCTTAATGAGATGATGAACTTCATGAGGGGGCAGGAACTTGTTTTGTTAATCCCTGTATGCCCAATATGTAGAATTTATACTTGGCACATAACAGGCACCATTAGATATTTATGGAATGAATAAATGCATGAATTGATAATAAAGAAATTTTTTTATTGAATAAAATCTTAATATTTAAAGGTATTTATTAGGATGTGAAAAAGTTTCAGCTATTAACAGTATCTATGATGTTTTAATATGAAGCAAATAATTAAAATTCTATTTTAATGCTAGCTTAGCATAGAAAAATTTGTTTTTCAATCCTCATCCGAGGATATTTTTCCATTGATTTTTAGAGAGAGTGGAAAAGAGAAGGAAAGACAGAGAGAAATATCGATGTGAGAGAAATACATTGCACATGCCCGAACCAGGACCCGATATACGCCTTTGACCAGAATCAAACCCGGGATCCTTCTGTCCACAGGCCAATGTTCTATCCACTGAGCCAAACCAGCTAGGGTGCATAGAACTTGTTTCAAATAACCAGTTTGACTAATTATTACGATTGACAGTTATAGATGCCTTTAACAAAACTTGTTGATTAGAATTGGGTTTAGGCAAACTTGAGAGGGGGAGGAGTAGAAAATGCCTTCTAAACGTTTGAACGTAATAACTGAAGTATGGAGGTGCTGATAATAAATATGGATAGGCCAGGCAGAGTGTGTTAAAGATATCCTCATTTGCCTGTTCACATGCTATATATATTTGTAAAAACCTTTTTTTTTTTTTTTACAAATATGACTTTATTTAATTCCTTAGCAACACCAGAAGGTGAGTACTATTATTATCCTCATTATACAGATGAGAAAACTGAATCCCAGAGAGATTAAGTAAATTTTAGGAGAATGTGTGTCCATAGGTAAACCACACTCTTTGGGAGAGTGGTGGAAGAGAGGAAGAAGAGGTGAGGAGTGAGGGGAGAGTGGGCTGGTGTAGAGAGGGAGAGGTGTAGAGAGGCACATGACACCTGGAGCCAGAAAGGAAGGGTAGGAGGAAGCTGAAAATTCCCCAAATAACTATAGGAATGCTAAAATTTGGGGGTTGAAGGAGGAGGAAAAATCAGGCCATAAAAGAAATACAGAAATAGAAAGGAAGAGAACTAGAAGAGCACAAGGTCAAAATGGCTTTTACTTGAAATTAGGAAGCACACTAAATGTCTTCATTTTTGGTTACTAGCCTCTTTTTATGATCATTTGAAAACCTGTAATTTTTTTCCAAAGAAGAAGGAAGCAGTATATTTAAGTAATGTTTAACAGGGCTCCTATCTGATTCCAGAATACATCCCCTCAATCTTTTTGGCAGCATCTGAAAGAAAGCAACCAGACTATCTGCTCCCTAAACTCATTCCATAAAAGCACAGTATGTTATTGTTAGAACTCCAGGGCTGATCTCCGATTGTGAGCTGGTGCCACACTCTGGTACATCCATTTTCTAAGGACCAAGTCAAGGGATTCCTGAGCCACCTCCCCATATTCAAGGTCTTTGGAAATTCTTCCTCTCACTGGAAGCATTGGAGAATTGGGCGGTTTTATTTATCCTGAACTGTGGAAGGGGTGGTTCATTAAGTGCATGGATTTATAGGAAGTACCTTGAAGGGCCTCCTTAAAATAAAGACCGGGCTTTAGTCATTCCACAGCTGCACAATGATTTGTGTTGATTGGAATAACATTTCTTTCCACCTAGAGGTTTTTAGTAACCAAAGTAGTAAGTAAAATTTGACTTATTAAAAAGCTAATATCACCAGGCATATTCGACTTGAAACTCTTAACAACTGGCATATAAATAGAAATTATAACAATCTTATAGTCAACATTTTTACATCTATGCAGTGCTGTACATTTTATTTATTTATTTATTTATTTTTTTTTATTTTTTTTATATTTTATTGATTTTTTACAGAGAGGAAGGGAGAGAGATAGAGAGTTAGAAACATCGATGAGTGAGAAACATCGATCAGCTGCCTCCTGCACATCTCCCACTGGGGATGTGCCCGCAACCCAGGTACATGCCCTTGACCGGAATCGAACCTGGGACCCTTCAGTCTGCAGGCTGACGCTCTATCCACTGAGCCAAACCGGTTTCGGCGAGTGCTGTACATTTTATAAATGCATGTGTTCTCACTTACTTTTCAACTGCCTAGTGAAGCATATACTGTTATTCTATTTTCACATTGGGCAATTGGGGCCCTATAGATAGGTTGTAACTCAGGCTCATCTGGATGTTCAGATGATAAGCTTAAACTCACATCTTCTGAGCCCAATTTCAGTGCACTCTTTGCTAGAACCACAGAAATTAGCACTAGGTCCAGAGAAAAACCCAAGATTTTTTTGTGAGGCAATATTATGTGGTAAGTGGGGAAATATGAGAGTATCTAAGAATATGTTCTATCTACCAATAAGGTATCTACTTTTTTAGTCATAATATTCTGAGGCTATTCAGCTTCATGCAACAAATCTACATTCTACTTCTTGACCCTTCTTTCAAATTTGTCAAAATAAAAGTGAACAAATACATATAGGTATATAGCCTTAGAGGCAAATATGGTTACTTATTATTCCACTATGCATCACCTTGAATCATTATTAATTTAATCTTCTTTTCTAAACCAACCCTAAATATCTTTTTTTAAAAATTTTTTAAAAATATATTTTATTGATTTTTTACAGAGAGGAAGGGAGAGGAATAGAGAGTTAGAAACATCGATGAGAGAGAAGCATCGATCAGCTGCCTCCTGCACACCCCCTACTGGGGATGTGCCTGCAACCAAGGTACATGCTCTTGACCGGAATCGAACCTGGGACCCTTCAGTCCGCAGGCTGATGCTCTATCCACTGAGCCAAACCAGTTAGGGCAACCCTAAATATCTTAAAGATAGAGTCCATTTTGTAATCTCTTTGTTTTTGAAACCATGCTTTCCTGTTCCCTTTTGTAGTTCCTCCATTTTCTCTATCCATATCCAATCTCTTTGGGTGATCTCATAAGGTCCCATGTTTTCATATATGTTCTAAATACAGACGTCACCCCTTGACTTCTTTCTGAACTCCAGACAGTGTATTTCTGATTGCCTCTTAACGTCTCCTTGTAGAAGTCTAATAGTCATTTCACATGTGACATGTCTGAAACGTAGCTCTTTTGTTCATTTCTTTCTTTTACTATACACCAACTGCAGCAGGAGTTATGGTAGATGTAATCACCAAAATATACCCTCATGGTTTGTTTTAATTGCTGACATTTAGTGCAAGTCACCATTTTCTCTTATGTGGGCCACTGCTATAGTTTCTTGACTGGGCTTTACCTCAACTTTTGTCTCCTACAATTCATTTTCTCTTCAGACCCAGAGTCATGTCACTCTCATCATCTTGAGGCGTTCTCATATACTGAGACTCCATGTTTTACCCTAATGAGGCCCTACAGGATCTGTTTTCTGCATCTCTATCTGATCTCATCACACCCATGATAAAGTTGGTGCTACATCAATATCAATTGAGTGAACAAATAATTTCCTTTTGGTTTAATTATCCATTGTCTTATGTGCCACAGAAAACAAAAGATATCAAGCTTCTTGGAAATAGAAAATTGCACGTTGTACTTTTGAAGTCTCAAGTATAGACACTAGATGTTTGTTATTGATACACAAGAATAGAAGTTGTTTGGGTGGACACTTACTTTGAAGCAAGCACTGAGTGCACAGATGCACACTAGCAGTGGCAGAGTTTTCATCTTTTCCTATTGGCTCCTAGGAAAAGCAGAAGAATGGATCACTATTAGTTATATTATTGTGGCACCGGGGCATATTTTGGTAAATGACTAAATATTGTTAGAAAGTACAGTTTAAAAGAGAAATTGTTTCTGAAAATGGTTTATATATGTCTACTCCATAGCGGAGAGGCAAAATTCAAACTAATATACATTTTTTTTGAGAAAGCAGTATAACAAAGTCAAGAAAGTCTTATTGTAATTAACTTGAATGAAAATTTTCTACTGATACTAAAGATTGCCTAGAAAGGGCAAGATCTTAGGAAGTTTAGCAATAAGAAAGGAAATAATTTTATTCTTATTTCTATTCTAATTGTAGAAGTTTCCTGTTAGGTGAACCATTATACAAACTACCTGATATTTACTAAACATGGTTTTGTAAATGTTTTATAATATTCTTTTATTATTATTTTTTCATGAGATTCTTTTAAATAAGACAGATGCTTCCTGTTTCTATTATCTGAGGCTGTTACTTAGGACAAAAAACCTGTCAAACAGACTTGTCCTGAAACTTCATTCTACTGAAGATCTTGCCATTTGATGCCTTTTTTCTAAATTTCTAAAGAACAGGAATCATGTTTTATTCATTTTTATATAAGTATGCTTAGCATATAGTACAGATTTAATAAAAATTTTTAAAAATAACTACTTCCAAAATATCATTTTACTTTTTGGCTATGTATTGGATGAGGGGAGAATAAAGGAAAGACATGGCCTTTTATTTTTCTTATTTAATCATGTATACAATATATACAGGTCAGTTTGATTTCAGAAAACAAAATAAAGGTTATTATCTAGGAAGAGTATATATTAGGGCAAGTAAATTAGATACACTTCATAATATAGCCTTGTGGTTTATCAAACTGGTATTAGAGTCAATCACACTTGTTTTAAATCCCAGCCCTGCTATTTAGGTGTGACTTTGAGTGAGTTGCAGTTTTACATGTTAAGATTGCCATGAGGATCCACTGGAATAATATAAATTCCAAATTGTACTGAGGACAATGTGCAGTCCACGGTAAAGTCTCAGTAGTGGTTATGAGTATAGTACTAGTATATCAAGAAGAAAAATGTCTTGTCCAATTGGAGAAAGAAATTCTTGTTATTTTATCAGGTTACTAACATACTATCAGATTGTCTTCTTTTGTTGTCAAGATTAAACAGTATTCCCCACAGATAACATTTTCTTCAAATAAACACAGGAGTTGAACCTGCTATGATGTAGTTTAACAGCTCACAAGAAGAGAAAAGAATATTAGCATCACGACTGCTATTACTTAATGTATATATATAACTTGAAAGCTGCTTAGTTTACATTAAAATATATTAGTACCCAATACCTCTAAAATATTCATATACCTGGCCTGGTGTGACTCTTTCTTCTTAGGTTGTTCTGTCCAATTGATTACCTTCAGCTGATCCTTTTGGGGTAGTAACTGGAAGCAGAAGAGGAGAAAGCACAGGAGGATTTTCAGGTTTTATAGTTTTCCAGTTGAGTTCTTTTTGGGAAATGGGAAATTTATTAGATTTAGATAAGGTTACTTCTGTCAAAGAATTTGATTTCAAAGACAAAGAAAGGATAGTTGTAATTTGTTGAGGTTGACAGTAGCCCTTTGTGCATCAGTTTCTTCCTAATGAACATAGTGTCATTAAGAGGTTCTCAATGAATAATTTACTTGATTAATAGTAGTGTGATAGTGATTGATGACACTTAAGTAGACTCGACCAACTGTGGCCCAGGTCTTCCAAGCAGGAACAGATCTTCCACCCTTTCCGGGTGGCCTCTCAGAGTAAGCAGAGGGAGTGCCCTCTGACAGTTCTTGTGATAGAGCACCTAGAAATATGATGTAGCAAAGGGCAGGTTAAAAAAATAACAAAATACTAAATACTGGTGAAGAACAATTGCTTTAGAGCTGAAAGATAAACATTTAATTTTTTAATATGCAAATTTTAAAAAAATTTGATTTTTTATTTTGAAAAATATCCAAACATACAGAAAAGTGAAGAGAGTAGTATAGAGCACAACCATGCACTCATTCCCTAGATTTCACAGTTGTTAACATTTTGCTTTAGATGCTTAATATTGATTGTTTTGCTGAAATATTTTAAGGTAAATTACAGAAATCATGAAAGTTAATGTGTAAATATTTCAGTATTTACCTCTAAAACTTCTTTTTTTTATAACATAACACAAGCAACATCTAATAACATTAATAATTCACATATAAATCTAAAACTCAGTTTATAGTAAAATTTCCTGAATTTTGCCAAAAGTATTTTTACTTGTTTTATTTTAACTAGGACTCAAATAAAGACCATACATTACATTTACTTGTTATGTCTCTATTTTATTCTAGAACATTCTTCTCTCTTTCCCCCAATGATATTGACCTCTTGAATGTGTAGACCAGTTGTCTTATAAATAATTATCCTTAGAAATAAATTTAAAAACAACTTTTCTAAAGGTTTCAAAAATTAAATATTTCTACTATGTAAAATTGTTGAACTGGAATACAATGTTAAAGATGTGATTCCACTCCTAGGCAGTCAATTTGTTCTTTTTCACATATGGTCTCTGAGGGCAGGTTCAATTATATTGTTTGGGTTTGATTCCTGGCTTCTCCACTTAGTAGCAATGTAATATTTGGTAAGTTACCTAATTTCTCTACGTCTCACTTTTCCTATCTGCAAAATAGGGCTGGCATCTACCTTACAAAGTTGCTGTGATAATGACATTAGATAATTTAAAGGGTCTTATATTGTGCTTCTAAATTATAGGCTCTCAGCTATTGACTTGCTATCAGTGGGAAGTAGTTTTGATATAGCACTTAGTAGCTATGGGTCATAATATCAATTTCTTTCCCTCTTTTTTCTTTTTTGCTACTAACCTTGATATATATTTCCAATATGCTTGTTATGGTCAAATTGTGTAGTAGAATTTTTATTGATTTAAAACAAATTTTTCTGAGTTCATGGCTTTTTTAGAACAATTCTCAAATCACCTTAAGTTAGTGCTCACTTAGTTGATTATAACAACCTAATACATTAATAAGGTTTTCAGAAATTTCTAATTATTTCCAGTCTTGATTCAATCCTGAAAGCAACAGGTTCAATTTTCTTTAAATATTGGGAAAGCATAAGAATAACTGAACATATTATAATTTGATCCAGTGCCTTTCAAGTCTTATTTTCCAATAAATAATGAGTATCACTTATCCTTTTAATGTTCTTGCAGTTGGCATTTTAGGAACTCATGAGCATGCAGCAGCATACGTAAGTTATACACATTTTAGCCCCAACCTATGGAAATGACTAACATACAGACTATAATCACCATTATGTTATAGTATTTTCATTTAGCACTGGGTGTTGGGACACGGGGCATAACATGATAACCTCAAAGTGTACCTACTGCTCACTGAATTCTGCTTTCCTGCAGTAAAAAAGATACAGCTGATTTTCTGCTCTTCACTACCCTCTCACCTTCACATCAAAATACTTTATAGATGGGAAAAAAGTTTCTTAACTAATTCAATCAGGACCAGATGTTGGTTAATTGAAAAGTCCATTAAAGCAAAATTCATAGTAGAAGGTTTTTATCAACCTTCTTTCTACTCTGTTCCCCAGCCCCATAGATTTTTGAGATTACTTTATGCTTTTTAATCCTTTATAAAAACAAATTAGAATATGGAGAACATCAATTATTTCACTCAATGCATTAATACAGCTGTATCAATACAAATTTCAGAATTTGTTTTTATAATTTAAAATCTATCTTTTTTTTTAACGAAATTTGATAGTTGACTTCCTTTAGTTTTTAGAAGACCTTTGCAGGATGGGAGAGTCTATGGAATTCACTTTCAGGTTTAGATGAATAATCTGAATTTAAGAGTATGAGAATTTGGCAATGGCACAATGGAAAATTGACCTAGTGGAAAGTCCTGTCTCAGCCTTGGCTAGCTTTGTTAGGGACCATATAATCTAACTTATGTCTGTATATTCAAGAAAAAGGAGAGAGAGTTATGTGCACCATCTTCCGTTTTGATTTTCTGCTATTATCAATCCTAATATTTAAATGTGCCTCAAGTCTTTTTTTTTCAAAGTACTTCCATATAGTTCATAATTATCAATGATCTAGAACAACCATTAGAAGCAAATATAGTGTTCTGGGAATCTGCTGGGGACACTCATTTTTCTTAATGTAACAAAGCCAGTGGACTAACAATAGATAATGGTGACATTGAAATGTTCTCAATACTGCTTTCTCTAAGTATGTTTATTAGGGAAGGTTAGATAAATAGTTTGTACTTCCCAGTAAAATGCCTCATTTGGCATTTTCCATTTCCCCCACATAAGTTAGTTCATCAATCTTCCTTTGTCATGACTAGACCTTTTGTGTCAGCTATGTACCTTTGGCTTCAGGTTCATAAAACTAACCCTTGTTAGCCTGGAGATCACTTTCTTCTGCTTCTTCTTTTTATTATTTTGAGGTTTCATTTTGATTATTTCTTTCTGGTTTGGGTTCAGCAAAACCTCAGCTAAATCATTCCTTTGAGTAAGGCTCTTCTTCATTGAAAGAAATTACAATTATTTTTGTAATTGCCATGTCTAGCTCTGGAGTTTTAGGCCTACTGGAAAGATGGCATTTTGTATTGAAATAGAAGACAAAGACACGGAATGAAAAGGTCTTGGACTAAAAGGGCAAAGAAAGAAACATATCATTCTATAGGGGATATAGAAGGACCAGAGGGCATTCATTCTCTGTCCATAGCTAGTCCTCGCCGTAAAAGAATTGCTAAGGTTGAGTTATGGAGTGGATTAACAGCATTTGTATTCATTAACTTATTATTTTAATGCAGATTTTAATAAACAGAACAGTAGATGAAAAGGAAATGATTTCTGGCATATTCTGGAATCCAGTGAAGTTTTGTAAAAGATAGAATCTTACTTCCCAAACACAAGAGAAGGGTTGATTCATGTCTGTGATGAAAATGTGCCGGGGTGGGGGTTGGGGGGAGGACGGGTAGAGGAGGCTGGGGGAAGGTCATTGGGGAAAAAAGGAGACATATGTACTACTATTTGTAATACTTTAAACAATAAAATTAAATTAAAAAAATAAAATAAATAAAGAATGACAATAAAAAAAAGAAAGAATAGGTTTTAAAATGTGGTATAGTCTTCTAAAGACTGACATGAAAATATTTTCTTCTTTAGATTTTAATTTTTTTTCCCCAGGAAGAGATAAAAATACTAAAAGAAATGTTATGGAATATAGTAAGATGTTTGTAATTCCAAATTCTATGTAATAAAATTAAAAAAAATGATCCTTTGTCTAAGCAATTGCTGAGAAAAAGATTGTGTTTAAATTCCATCTGACAGATTAGGTGAACATGACAAAGAAGGAGAGACTCAGAATTTATTTTCAATTAAAACAAAACAAAATGGAGATATCTTATTAAAGAGATACAGTTGCATGGAAATACTAGAAATCCATAATTTTTAAAATTTATTTTGTGCCACATGTAGGAAAGGAAGCAAGAAGAGTTCTGAATGCGCAGAAATCTTTTCTCTGATTAGCTGAGCACAGTGAAAAAAGAGAAGGAAAGATACTCACAAAGGTAAAATCATCTTGCAATGATTTTAATGCTGTTTCTCCGTAGTCATAGAAAAATGGACTCTCATATGTCTCAGGAAGAAACTTGTTCTCTGAGTAAAGAAAACAAATAATAAAGAGAGGTCTATTTAAGATTATGAAAAAATTACAAAATGAAATGTGTATTATAATTTAGGTTTAGTGAAAATGGTAACCAATTTATTACTAGAGTACAGTGTGATAAACCATAGCATATGGACCTAATTTGGCCTGTTGCTTGGCTTTGTACAAAATAAATGAATAATGGTGTTTACATTTTTAAAAGAGTGTAAAAACAAACAAACAAACAACAGAAAGTACCCATAAAGGCCTAAAATATTTACTCTCTGGCTCTTTACAGAAAAAGTTTGCTGCTTCCGGTTTTAACTAGAGGAACTTAAAAAAAATTCATTTTACCATTTGATATTTGGGCTTGTCTATTTTTAAAAGTCTTTTAAAAATACAGCAAATATTTTCTGGAAAATGTTGGTGTATTTCTATAGCAATTTGTGTTCTATTGGGCTCTGTATTCAATTGTGTGGGCTCTGCCCTTTGATTTACTAGCTGTGTGACTTTATGTAAGTTATTTAACTCTTCAGAGATTTAATAATATGTGTCTGATTTTCCTCATAGTAATATATGTACATGATTATGGGATATAACTTATGTTTTTTTTCATGAAGATTAAATGTGTTAATGAGTATTGCATATGTAGCAGGATCTGGTACAAAATAAATGCCCAATAAATGTTAGCAATTTATATCTGTAAATTGTTAGGTGCAAACATTTCAGAATTATGGCAACAAGGAAGCAGGTTCACCATGCAATGCAGTATAGTTTTTCACGGCATCCATGTTTCTGCTCA